ACCATATTAGGGTTTAGGGTTTAGGGTTTAGGGTTTTGGGTTTAGGGTTATAACTGTACTCATACCTATGTTAGGGCACTTCACGGGGCTTACAAGTGGGTTCTGAGTCAGTTATCATTGGTTGAAAAGTACCATGAACCTCCAAGCAAACTTCGAAAGAGCTAAACCCCAAGAGAGAAGGTTCGTAGGCTTATGTCCTAAACCCTAAACCCTAAACCCTAAACCCTAATTCGACCCTAAACCCTAAACCCTACTTTCCTCAGCTTTAGCTGTCTGGCATCCCCAAGCCCCAGCGTAGAACGCTGCACCTAGTTTTCTCCAATATCATGTAGAGGCCCATTGAAAGGAACGAGCATTTGTGATAGTTTATGTTACAACTATCTACCCTAAACCCTAAACCCTAAACCCTGAACCCTAAACCCTAAACCCTAAACCCTAATAGGGAAAAAACACGGCAATGCCATGGGACATCTTGTGGTTCCTGTGCTGCTTTCCACGGGGGGCACGCACGTTCAGGGACCGATTGGCACCCTGGAGCTCAAACCCCAAAGCGCAACCTCCCGGTTTAGGGTCTAGGGTTTAGGGTTTAGGGTTTAGGGTGCAAAGCCAGTCTTAGTTGTCCAATGCCCTAGGGAAACTGGAAGGTTTGCCTTTGTGATTGTACAGGGTTTAAATACTCAAAACAAGTTAAAGGTTACCTAACCCTAAGCCCTAAGCCCTAAGCACTAAAGCCTAAAGCCTAAAGCCTAAACCCTAAACCCTATACCTACTCTACTACTAAGCATTTTGCAAGCCACGCTGAGGCCTGAAGGCCTAAACAACTGCACCTTGGGATGTTCCCCCTAATCCTAAGAGCATTTAACAGGGATTCTGATAGGGAGTACCTAATTCCTATTCAGGCCTGTAAGTATAAGGGGGTAAACCCTAAACCCGAAACCCTAAACCCTGAACCCTAAACCCTAAACCCTATACCCTGTACCCTGGCACGCCTTGAAGCACGAACTCACAGCGCGATGCAATGGCTAAGCCAAGGAATCCTGGCAAGCCTTGTAAGCCCTAAAGCCCCAAAGCCTAGAATCCTGGCAACCCTTCCAACCCTTCCAACCCTAAACCCTAAACCCTAAACCCTAAACCCCTAACAACCCGTGCTGTGTACCGCGGCCCAGGTCTGCCAGCGGCCATGTGCCTTCCAGCAGGCCCTGCCGCGATCCAGGGGGGGCTGCTGGCAGCACGTGCAGGGTTTAGGGTTTAGGGTTTAGGGTTTAGGGTGACCCACAACCCTAACCCGCAGAAGGAACACTTCTCGACTTGGGGTGTTGGGGTTTAAGGCTTAGGGTTCTCGGGTCTCGAGTTGGAGTTTCGGGCTTCCAGCTTGGGGTTCCAAGTGAGGGTTTAGGGTTTAGGGTTTAGGGTTTCGGGTTCAGAATGTATTGGGCTTTCAACCCAAAGCACAACTCGGGGGCTCTGAAGATTTATGGGATCCGAGAATGCGGGGCTCAGGCTCGGACATGCTGTGGGCGGGGGGTGGGGGTAAGGTTCAGGGTTCAGGGGGTTTAGGGTTTAGGGTTTAGGGTTTAGGGTTTAGGGCTAAGAGTTTAGGGCCAAGGGGGTTTGGGGGAAAGGTGGTTCAGGCTTTGAAGGTACTGCCAACTTTGAGGTTTCACCCCGCCTCGTCGAACCCCAAAGCGTAAACCGTGTCTTCTCACTCCATCATGAGTCAGGATAGTACCCAAAAACTTAAATCCTCAAACCCTACACCCCTATATCCTAAACCCCTAAACCCCAAACCCCTCAACCCTAAATCCCCAAACCCTATACCCTAAACCCCTAAACCCTTAGCCCCAAACCCCTCAACCCTAAACCCTAAACCCCTAAACCCCCAAATCCAAACCCCCAAACACCTCAACCCTAAAACCCTAAATCCCCAAACCCTATGCCCGACATCCCTAAACTCCAAACTCCTTCTCCAAACCCTCAACCCTGTTTGCTAAATCCCCAAACCCTAAATCCCGAAACCCTAAGCCCTACATCCCAAAACCCTAATCCCCAAACCCCTCAACCCTAAACCCTAGCCCTAAACCCTAAACCCTAAACCCTAAACCCTAAACCCTAAACCCTAAACCCTAAACCCTAAACCCTAAACCCTAAACCCTAAACCCTAAACCCTAAACCCTAAACCCTAAACCCTAAACCCTAAACCCCCAAACCTCTAAGCCCTAAATCCCTCAAAACCTGGGAGACGGCACCTGCCTCGATCTGCTCCCCTGCCAGAATGGTCCAAAACTCCTCCAGGAGCTGCCCGACATCCTGGCTTCAAGGGGTTTAGGGTTTAGGGCTAGGGTTTAGGATTTAGGGTTTAGGGGTTAAGGCTTAGGGCTAGGGTTTAGGGTTTGCGGCTTAGGGCTTCAGGCGGCTTAGGGGGGTGGGGGTTGGGGTTTGAGGCTTCAGGGTATAGGGCCTCAGGGGGTTGGGGTTTAGAGTTTAGGGCTTCAGGCGGTTTAGGGCTTCCGGCGTTTAGGGCTTCTGGGGTTGAGGGTTTAGGGTTTGGAGTTGAGGGCTTCTGGGGGTTGAGGATTTAGGGGTTGGGGTTTAGGGCTTCAGGGCTTTCGGGACTTGGGGTTTAGGGCTTGGGGTCTAGGATTTGGGTTTAGGGCTCGGGGTACCCTAAGCCCTAACGCCTAGAGTGTAAGCCGAATCTCAAAGGTCTGGCGCGAGCTCTTCGTTTACAGTCGAGACCAAGATCTTTCCACACATCATACCCTATACCCTAAACCCTAAACCCTAAACCCTAAACCCCAAACCCTAAACCCTAAAGCCTAAAGCCCTAAACCCTAAACCCTAAACCCTAAACCCCAGACTGGGCCACGCCAATAGCAACCTTAGCTCCCGTCGCACCCTCCTTGCTTGGGGGCTCGTGGTACTGAAGAACCAATTGATAACTGTATTTGGGACCCGCTGATAAGCCCTTAAGTACCCTAACATGGTGATAACTTGGCTATAAGTGCAGTTACTAAACCCTAAACCCTACACCCTTTTGCCTAAACCCTAAACCCTAAACCCTAAACCCTAAGTACCATGAACCTCCAAGTAGAGCTCACAACAAAGCCGCTTTTCTCGACCGCCATGTCCAGTCCCGGGGGGCCCAATCCAGCAGCAGAAGCCAACCATGTGCTCAGCAGTCGCCAGACTGCTTCTATTGGCAGTATCCATGCCGACATCGCCAACCCAAGCGGTGATTTGAAAGGGACGTTGGTGCAGGAGCAAGTCACACATCAAGCCCCGCAATTGTTTTTTTTTTGCGCCAAGAGAGCAGTGCAACCCGGTTCTCAGAGGTCCGCAGGCCTGCTACATCTCTAAACCCTATAGGGCTCAGAGATTAGGGTTGGGTTCAGAGACTTGGGTTTATATAGGCCCTGCGCCCAATTTTAGACCCACCTAAACGGCCCCTTCATTCCTCCTTACCCCTAGTTTGGAGTCGACCCTGCGAAAAAAGTATATACTTTTTAGGCATAAGTAGCTACAATAGGAACCCAGAACCAAGAAAAGGGATTAAAGTCTAGTACTCCAAAACCCTAACCTAAACCCTAAACCCTAAACCCCAAACCCAAACCCTAAACCCTAAACCCTAAACCCTAGACCCTGAACCCTAAACTCTAAACCCTAAATTACAGTATAGCACTCCACGACCCAGTTACTTTGTGGCTCCTCCTGCAGCACGGCCTGGGTGAAGCTGGAGAGGTTGTGCCTGTGCTTTGCGTTGGAGTCGGGCCCCAAGAGGTTGGAGGCTTCTAACCCTAAACCCTAAACCCTAAACCCTAAACCCTAAACCCTAAACCCTAAACCCACCCTAAACCCTAAACCCTAAACCCTAAAACCTAAACCCTAAATGAAGGAATGAAGACTTAGTAGCCCAGAAACCATACTATAATAAGGGCACCTTTTTTTTTGGTTGGTTTCTTTCTAAGGGAACCTTGAACCCCGCAAAAAGGGAAAAGGGTACCACTGGGCCACCAAGAAGAAAGAGGGAGATGAGAAGAAGAAGAGGAGGAGGAGGTACTTTACTGCAGCTCAGTCACCTCCTCCTCGGCATCCTGGGCTTTAGGCTTCAGGGTTTAGTGTTTAGGGCTTAGGGTCTACTAGGGCTTAGGGCTTACGTTCTTTAAGGCTTAGAGTTTAGGGCTTGGGGTTGAGGTTGAGCCGTGTTGTGAGCCGTGTTGGCTAAGGTGCTTGAATGCGTGTGCAAGTGTAAGAACCCAAGGTGTGGGGTTTAGTTGGTGCTGCCTTTCTTTGCGTCTGAGCGGGCAGGGTTTAGGGCTTAGGGCGTAGGGTTTAGGGTTTAAGGGTTTGGGAGTAAACGTCCAAGCCAAAAAAATCTCTAGGATGGCCCTTGAAAGCGTCTGAAAAATATTCCTGCATATGATCCGCTTAACCCCATTAAGGGAAAAAAACGTGAACAATTCCCCTTGGACCTACCGGGTTCTCTGTCTCTCCTGCATCTCCTCTCTCTCAGAGCTCTTCCTCCCTCCCTCTCTCTCTCTCTCTCTCTCTCCCTCCCTCTTGCTCGCTCCAAACACTGAACCCAGATTCCGAGACCTCACTTTAAACTTAATGTTTGAGGGTTCACGGCTTTTTGGGCGGCAAACCTGCACAGGGTTCCTAACTTCACACTGCGTTCGTTGCCTTGGGCCCGTGCTACTCCCCTCCCCCTAATATTAACCCCTAAGATTAAACATGTTTCCATATACTGTAATATACCTTTGCTGGGGGTACTTAGTATGAGTAGGGGGGGGTTCAATCTTTAAAAAATAAGGGGGAGGATTCCTTCATCGGACCCTGTCTTTCTCTTCTCAAGGTGGGTCTAACCCTAAACCCTAAACCCTTTTTTGCAGCCGGACTGAGGGCGTCGCCGGAATACTGCTTATCCCACTTCGCTCCATCTCATGATATTCACAAGACAGCGCAAGCCAAAAACATGCAAACGAACAACATCCTTTTGGTAGTCACAGTTCGTCATCAGACATGGACGATAGCCTGCGCCTCAGCTCGTCTATGGGTAAGAGGACTTGACAGCGGCGGAGGGCAACCTCTCGTCGATGTGAACTAGCATCAGAAAGTGACTGAGGAGTTCCCTGCGTGCGCCCCGTCTGCCGACAATGGCCGAGGGCACCATCTCGTTGATGCGAATCTGAAAGTGGCTGAGGGGCTTTCTGCGTACGGCCAATCTGCAGGTGTTCTTCAAGGTCCCCATGTTGACTGTGATTCCCAGCACCAGCGTTGTTATTGGCATCCACACTGTTGCCCTGTCCGAAGCCATTCCGCACCATGTCTTGGTGCTCCAGTCTTTCCAGCCTTGCCATCAGCGCATCTGTGGAGGACTGCACTTGCCGGAACACACTTTCCAACAAAGCTGCGCACTCAGCTTGCGAGACCAGCTCTTCCGAAGTTTGGGTGCCAGTGTTAGCGACCCGTCCTTGCATCGGGGCATCTCCACATTTCAACCGGCGCTCTGCAGGAGAATCTTGGGCCCCTTCACGTTGAGACACGCCAACTGACATATTGTTGGATGGACTGAGTCTGGGTTGTTTGCAATCCAAGCCCAGTCCATCGTACAAGCAGATTTGACGTTTCAGCGTACATGGTGCTGATACAAGGTGCTGAAGAGCCCTTCGCAAGCAGTATGATACTTCTCGATTCGGTGTCTTCTGCGCAAGTCGGATTGAGTAAGCGATACATGATGACAGCTTCCGATACCCAGAACTTGTGTCCATGGCAGCAAGGAATTACGAATTGTCACTTGCCTTATTCAGGCCTCGTAGCCAAAGCTTGAGCCGTAGCCATTACATGGACGATAGCCTGCGCCTCAGCTCGTCTATGGGTAAGAGGACTTGACAGCGGCGGAGGGCAACCTCTCGTCGATGTGAACTAGCATCAGAAAGTGACTGAGGAGTTCCCTGCGTGCGCCCCGTCTGCCGACAATGGCCGAGGGCACCATCTCGTTGATGCGAATCTGAAAGTGGCTGAGGGGCTTTCTGCGTACGGCCAATCTGCAGGTGTTCTTCAAGGTCCCCATGTTGACTGTGATTCCCAGCACCAGCGTTGTTATTGGCATCCACACTGTTGCCCTGTCCGAAGCCATTCCGCACCATGTCTTGGTGCTCCAGTCTTTCCAGCCTTGCCATCAGCGCATCTGTGGAGGACTGCACTTGCCGGAACACACTTTCCAACAAAGCTGCGCACTCAGCTTGCGAGACCAGCTCTTCCGAAGTTTGGGTGCCAGTGTTAGCGACCCGTCCTTGCATCGGGGCATCTCCACATTTCAACCGGCGCTCTGCAGGAGAATCTTGGGCCCCTTCACGTTGAGACACGCCAACTGACATATTGTTGGATGGACTGAGTCTGGGTTGTTTGCAATCCAAGCCCAGTCCATCGTACAAGCAGATTTGACGTTTCAGCGTACATGGTGTTGATACAAGGTGCTGAAGAGCCCTTCGCAAGCAGTATGATACTTCTCGATTCGGTGTCTTCTGCGCAAGTCGGATTGAGTAAGCGATACATGATGACAGCTTCCGATACCCAGAACTTGTGTCCATGGCAGCAAGGAATTACGAATTGTCACTTGCCTTATTCAGGCCTCGTAGCCAAAGCTTGAGACCCTAAACCCTAAACCCTAAACCCTAAACCCTAAACCCTAAACCCTACTGTAAACCCTAAACCCTAGCCCTAAACCCTAAACCCTAAACCCTAAAACCCTAAAACCCTAAAACCCTAAAACCCTAAAACCCAAAAACCCAAAAACCCAAAAACCCAAAAACCCAAAAACCCAAAAACCCAAAAACCCAAAAACCCAAAAACCCAAAAACCCAAAAACCCAAAAACCCAAAAACCCAAAAACCCTAAAACCCTAACTAAACCGCCCCTGAACCTGAAGCCCAAGCGACTGGATCCCGGCGTAGGAGAGCGCCGGAAGCTCCTAGCAGATAGCATTGGCCTAAAACCCAAACCCTAACTGGGCTTAGGGTTTAGGGTTTAGGGTTTCGGGTCCCATATATGGTACGGCACCCTTTAAAACAAGGACCCCAAAAGGGGTCCTAAATTTGAGAACTACGGGCTTCCGACCTTCGGGGTACCTTATTACAGTCCTGATCAGAAGGGAATCCTATACACCCTAAACCCTAAACCCCTAAACCCTATACACCCTAACCCTAAACCCCAAAACCCTAAACCCCCGTCCCTTACTTTCGTAAATCCCCCCCATATGAACCATTGAGGCACATGTGGGGCGTAAGCCTTGGGGATGCTTCGGGTTTCGGGTTCAGGGGTTCAGGGGTCTCTCTCACATGGGGTTTAGGGTTTAGGGTTTAGGGTTGCAGGCAAGGATTCGGCCGGGTCGATGGCGTCAGCTTAGCTCTGGGGCGTCAGTGGGCCCCCAATACCTAATCAGAATGCTCTACCCGAAGAGGGCGTACAACAACCCACAGAGCCAAGTTTATGTAGATGGGGGTCACTTTGGACTGGTATGTTGGAAGGTACCCTAAACCCTAAACCCTAAACCCTAAACCCTAAACCCTAAACCCTAAACCCTAAACCCTAAACCCTAAACCCACCTCGGTCGGCTGTCAGCTTCGCTCCGTGTGTCAGCGGGTTGTTGCCGATGACACAAAACAGAATTGCTCAGACCAATGAGGACATGAAACAACCCACAGAGCCAAGCCTCTCTAAAGGGGTTTAAGGGTTTTAGGGGTTAGGGTTTAGAATTTTCTCAGGCTGTTGAAAGACGTTTCGAAGAGCAGCTGACCGAACTCAAATCCGGTGTGGTCTGGTCCTTGGACACGACCTCCATCTGGACTCGCGCCAGCCTGGTCCACTCCGCAAACTTGGGCTGTCACAACGCAAGGATTAAGTAAGGGTTGCCGTTGCGAATTTGCCCTAAACCCTAACATCCAAATCGCAAACCCTGAACGCAACATTGTTTTGGGGGAGGAGTGCCGACCCTAAGCCCTAAACTTTTTCAGATTAGAGCCCCTTGTCAGGTCCCTGTTCCACATGTGGCAACTTGACTTTACGGCACAATAGGACCCAACTGGAGGCTGATGTAAGTTGCTGGACTTTTCGGTCCCCATTCTTGTATGTCCTTCAACCCTACACCCTAGATTCCTAAACCCTAAACTCCACAGGTAAACAGACCTACTTTCATCAAGAGGTTAGGAGCCTAAGGCTGCGAAGGGGGGCCTTACATGCACCCCTAAATGTTTAGGGTTTAGGGTTTAGGGTTTAGGGTTTAGGCCCCCAAGCCGTGGGGTTAATTAAGGGTCTCTACACTTCAGCCCCCCGCAAAGCCCCAGGTGAATCCACAAAAGGCCACAAGCAGCTCAACCCATTCAGCCCTGAACCCTTCAACCCTCAAGCGCCCCCAAACCTTAAACACTCCTAAATAAGCCCCCCGAGCCCTAAACCCTGAAACCTCTCAAAGCTCCCCTAAACCCAAAACCCATAAACCCAAAAACCCCAAAACCCGAAAACCCGAAAACCCGAAAACCCATAAACCCATAAACCCCTAAACCCACAAACCCATAAACCCATAATCCCATAAACCCATAAACCCGTAAACCCCCCCCGGCGCTGGGCCTTGAGAGCCAGACTTCTGGGCTGGATGACCGAGCTCCTGCACACCCTATTGACCCAGCTTGGGGTTGAGGGTTTAGGGTTTAGGGTTTAGGGTCTAGGGTTTAGGGTTTAGGGTCTCACACTGGCACAAAGCGGGCGAGGTTTAGGGTTGAGGGTTTAGAAGGATGCCAAAACCCGCACTCCTGAGCTTGCAGCCCTAAAGGGTTCCCTGAGATCGTACCTTGACTTGGTTGCTCTTTAACCCTCAATAAAAGTTTAACTTTTAGGCCCCTCAATATAGAATTAAAGGAAACCCAAAACTTCTAAAGTGATAACGTTGTGGTAAAGTCTCACCTAGTTGAAAGACGGGTCCCCAAACAAAAGTGGTACAACCTTGTCGGCAAAAAGGGGAGTTCCGGTTTCCCTAAACCCTAAACCCTAGACCCTAAACCCTAAACCCTAAACCCTAAAACTCCTAAGCCCGGATCCCGAGATCGCTGTTCTAGGCTGCGTGGCCTTGATGGGTGGAGATTTCCGGAAAGCGACACCCCTACCATCAAGCATGCCCTAAACCCTAAACCCTAAACCCTAAACCCTAAGCCCTAAGCCCTAAACCCCAAACCCGGAAAGCCTACTGTCATGTTGTGTGTTCGTCTTCCAATGGATCTAGACTAGCGATTGAGGGTGTGGATCTGAGGACGACCCACCCTAACCCTAAACCCTCAACCCTAAACCCTGATGGGCATCTAGAAGTATGCAATTGTAGCTGCCCGCCATGCACCCATGAACCTCCCAGCCCTTTGCATCTGGCCTTGTTGAAGTCTGCAAACCCTAAACCCTAAACCCTAAACCCTAAAGCGCCCTTGGGTGGTTCTGAGAGGGCAGCAAAGCGGTCCTGCGGCGTGGCACTCGGGATCCTCCGCTGGCCTGCAGAAAGACCCTGACTATACGCGCCTTAGAACCTTATTGAAAACAATATTTTTAAACCCTCTAGGGTTTTATATAAGCAAAAATACAAAATAATTCCCCAGGGTGATATAGCTGAAAGGCCCCAACACCCCCTAGTGGATCGTTGGGACATGCCTAAGCCCTTCAACCTTAAATCACAAACCGGAAACGCTTAAACCTCCTTGGTTTGATACCCCCGAAAACCCCGCAGTACTAGCCCTGATTTCGCCCGAAACCCAAAACGCTCAAGTCCCTAAACCTTGAGCCTGTTTGCGACAGGCTTGAGCAACCGCCCAACCCTAAACTCTCAACCCTAAACCCTTCATTAGGGGGTGATTGGGCTCTCTGGGAATGCTCGGTTCGGCCCAGGGGGACCCTGTAAACTCTCTGAAAACATGTTCACAAGAATCCTTCTTGAAAACGCAGTAAGGGAAACATGAAATACTCCAAGGGCGTGGTTTAGGTGGGTTGGAGGGGTTTAGGGGTCCAAGGCTTAAGGTTTAAGAAGCAGCTGCGATGCACAAACTTTAGCCTTTCGAGAGCGTCGGCATAAACAGCTGCTTAGCAAACCTCAAGCCCTAAACCCTAAACCCCTAAGAACCCCTAAGCCGCAGCCTCTTCGGGGTGGGTTCTGCAGTGACGTCGCTTTGCCGTGAAAGAAGGTCCTAAACACTAAGCCCTAAACCCCAAACCCTAAACCCTACAGTAAACCCCTAAACCCGTTGAGCCTATTGCTTGTCCAGTATCCTAGGTAACAAAAGGTTAACCTTTGCGATCATGTAGGGGTTATAATCCCATAAAAGTTCATGGTTACATACTCTACTACTGCATGTTGAGTTCCCAAGGCTTGCTGTCTGTAAACCCTAAGCCCTAAACCCTAAACCATAAACCCTAAACCCTAAACCCTAAGCCCCGAGCGATGCTTCCCGGCCTTGTTGGCTGCAGAATGGGGAGGTCGGCCTCGGTACAGGGTGTGGGGGGGGGGGGGGGGGGGGCGTTCATCAAGGGACTTTTGCTCCCCCTCATACAAACGGGGTTTAGGGTTTAGGGTTTGGGGTTTAGGGTTTGGGGTTTAGGGTATAGGGTTTAGGGTCTAGGGTTTAGTGAATCCTAAATCGGGATTTCAGCAACCCCCCCCCCCCCCCCCCATATTATAGTCCCTAAAAAGGGCTGTTAGTTTTAAGGGGAACATCCCAAGCTTGGACCCTTAAGCTGG